AGGGTCACATTTACTCTACTTTAATATTGATAATTAAGTTAATTTATATAAGATGTTTTATGATGGTAAAGTCCAAAGACTAATGTATTTAAGAACAATTCCCAGCAGAATAGCTGGTAAATTATAATAGTATGTGGTGATGATATCCCGTTTTCTATAGACGGTAATTCCACTACAAGTTACGTTTTCTATGGGTAACTTGTTTATACAACACAGCTCTTATCTGTCTGTATGATATTATTATTAAATGGTGTCGGATTTTCCGACATAATTCCCCAGGGGGCTGCTCACGGGTCGAAGTCCTAATTAGAACAGACGAACACCGATACTCCTCCTTCGAATTATTAGATTAATTTGATGTTAGTAGTTAGTAATCACACATTTGTGTGTCTGTTCGTACAGGACGGATGTCCCGTACTAGAGTTGCAGGGGTTAGAAGTCTAATGCGATTTCATTTCCCTGTCAACTCTTGAAAGGCTAATATTCAAGCCTTATTACATATTATTTAACCCAGAAGACTGGATGTGATCAAGTACTACAGTCAAGTATGATTCAGGGACTGCAGTGAGATCAGTGACATCAGATATAACTTGAAGTTTGTTCAGGTAACTGGTCACTGATATATAAACACTGAGGCCCATGGAATACATCTTGATTAAATAATAAATGTATCAAATCAGTCATCAGATTTATTGGGGTTTAATTTAGTTAATTGATTCAGAAGATTGAATAGCTCATCATTAAAGTAAAGTATGGTTCTGAGACTGCAGTGGGTTCAGTGACATTGGTCGCAGTGACTTGTAGCTGTTTTAGGCTACTGTTCACTGATTTGCCACTGAAGCCTCATGAACTCATCTTCAGCTTCAAATGATGATACTAACATCAACCTCTGTTACTATAGTCAGCTGTAATCTCCTTAGTATAATGCTACTGGAGAAATATAATCAGCTGACAAATTTAGATTTCTACTGGTATTGTTTATCTGCAGGCATAGGTCTCCTCAGGCTTGATACTGAGCCTGAGAGTAATTTACCTCCTGCAGAGTTTAACATGGTTATACCCTGATATTTAGTAGGGCTACCGATGAATCGATGACAATAGTCTGTCCCTACAAGGAGACCAAAGTCGGTGAGGTGATCAGACTTAATATTATCTGCCAATTTTATTCCTCTATTTCTCAGAAATTTGGCTGTTGCTCTCAGACCTCGAACTTGTAGGTCTACTGGTATTTTGTCCACCACAATGGCTTGTACTCGACAGACGTACCTGCCTAAGCGTACTGATGGTTGTACCACCTGGTAGACTTGAGGTCCTGCATCTGTTACAAACCCTGAGATGTTGAATGACATCTGGGCTAGAGGCCTTAATTGTAGTTCATCTGCCAACTTTTTAGTGATATATGTTCTTTGGGATCCTTGGTCAAACAACCCACGGGTATGGACCTTGGCCCTCTTATTCAGGATGGTAATTTGGGCAGTAGGCAAAGTCGTATTACCTTTAGACTTTGCTGATTGGACACTCTTTGTTTGTTGCACCTTGCAGTACTGTACTGTGGTGGGAATGCTATCTTCCACCTTGGGTCTTGAATACGTTAATTTCGTATATTTACACAGTGCTGCATGGTGCCTACCTCTTCTACACCTGTTGGAGGTGTTGAATTGGGTATCACAATAGTCTATGTTGTGTGACTTGAGACACCTTGCACATCTCCCTAATTCCTGGAGTCGCTCAATACGAGTGTCTCTGGTTGGATAATTAGCACAACAGTATGTTGAATGTTTCTTTTTGCAGAACATACATGTCCCCCAGCCTACTGCACGTTTGGAAGTTACCGGTTTGGGTGAACTAGTAACAGTAGGCTTGGAGGTTGCTGCTGCATTGTCAGATTTTCTGCAACTTGATGTTAGAGTAATTGACTGATGTTTATTTGGGGAAGTTGTTTTACCCTTTAATTGACTATTTTCTATTACTGAAGGCTTGCAAGAGGCTTTAACTTCCTCATTTGCACGTCGTTTGTTTATGATGGAATGTAAACCTTCAGTGATGTCCTGTACTGTCAGGATGGTGTTATGTTGATGTGCATATAATTCATCTAGTATATCGCTGGACAATTTTCGTTGAAGGACTACTTTGGTCATCCATTCACTAGTAGTTATATCAACCTTAAGACTGAATATTCTTAGTAGTGACTCAAACTCCATGCTGAAGGATTGTAATGAGTCAGCAGTCTGATCAGGTTGAGGTAAATCCAGCAATTGTAGTACTAGATGTATGACAGTTTTCTCATTGCCAGCATTATCCATACTAGCTAGTTGGTGAAGCCTTGTGGGGCTTGTACTTGGGCTGCTCATAATACTGAACAAGCACTGATGGTAGCCTAGGGTAAATTCTGCACTCACTAGGCAATAATCCTACCTCTACTAGAGGTTAGCACTTAAAATTAATACACATTATATATACAATCATACACACTAATGATTTGAGTGATAAACCAGTGTCACTGGAAGTACCTTTAGGTTAGCTCTTCAATATCACCCTAGGATGGTAGAGACACTAATTAATCACTCAAAGGTGTAATGATCATAAGTAAATTATTATATATACAACTCAACTCGAGTTGATAAAATTTACACCCAAAATAGGGTCTGCACCATTCATTAATGGTGTTAGGTTGATCAATATAGTACAACTGACTATGGTAATAATGGGACTAGGATGAACGATAATAGTTCAACTAGTCAATGGTTTTATCCTACCCTGTTGTGGGTTGGCAATTAGTAAATATTATATTGAGAACACTAGTGAAATATATTAAATAATTATCTATTTTGGAGAAATAATATACACAATTATTCATAATAGCCTCTTAATTAGCCTCTATGAAACTTCTAATATTATCTAGAAGTATTAAATATTATTAGTGACCTCGCGAAATAAACTCCACAAAATTCGTAGATAATCTCTCGCGAAATGTAACACCACGAAATCCGTGAACAATCTCGCGACACAGTCACTAATTTGGCTGGCTTCTATATTAGCGCTGTCATTTCACAGAATAACACACCACCAAATCCGTGGGTGTGCATGAAACCGCTGACTAAGGCTGATCTGAACTGAGCGGGGCTCGTGAACTCGCTTGAGGCAACGCTGCCATCTTTGACTGGCTGGCCTTGTTTAAATCACACTGCACTAGTATATTTAATGAATCCACTGGTTAACTGGTTCATCCGGTACTAAGATGACCAAATGTGGGTTCAAAGGACCAAATATTCCGGTTCCGAAGGTCCAAATAATTCGGTTTCGAAGGACCAAATAATGTGGGAACCGACCTGTGAGATTTATATTTATTTAATTTATATGAATTTATATTTACGTTAATTTATATACTTCGATAGCAATTTGTATAATGATAAGTGGACTGTATTTCTGCAATAATCTCAATCTCACAAATCGATCCTCTACACATTAGGGGGGTTTATATTTATATGTATGCAGCCAATCAAACTACAGAATTAACTACATACATTGAAGAGGTTCCTTATCTTATAGTACAGCAGGCTAGTCCACCAGGTATAACTAGGGTGTAGACACCAAATTATCCTCTTTGAGGTAGCTTCCATCACCCAGTAACTGGTGCACAAAATCTTGCATCCTCGTCTTGACCTGTCAAAAGGGCGCTAGCTGTAAAGCCAGATACCTATATATGACAAGCTATATCAGAGAAAACACTATACAGTACATGGAACAATAAAGACCTGGCTTAATTACCTTTAGTATGAGGCGATTTCGCGTTCTAACCGGCTAACCCTACCCAATGACATTAATGGCCACTAATGATAGATAATGGGTTTCGGAAAGAACACTTAACTTGAATTTGTAGACAGCGTGTTGATAATGGTACACTTTTAGTTTCCATAACACTACGTCCAAGTAAATTTAACAGGAGCCGAATTTGCTCCCGTGTGAGCCTCTGGTCTAGTCTCAACAATGGCTGCATCTAACACTCCATACTATTGACGCCTGGCCGACATTGTCCAGATATGATAAGAGCCAAATTTGCTCCATACGTCTCGGAGGTGACACAACAATGGCTGCCCTCCTCCCTCACTCACGCCTGGCTTACATTGTCCACATGTCAGAAAGTGATAGAAGGGTCACATTTACTCTACTTTAATATTGATAATTAAGTTAATTTATATAAGATGTTTTATGATGGTAAAGTCCAAAGACTAATGTATTTAAGAACAATTCCCAGCAGAATAGCTGGTGAATTATAATAGTATGTGGTGATGATATCCCGTTTTCTATAGACGGTAATTCCACTACAAGTTACGTTTTCTATGGGTAACTTGTTTATACAACACAGCTCTTATCTGTCTGTATGATATTATTATTAAATGGTGTCGGATTTTCCGACAGTGAGACGCTTATAGGTGTCCAACACCTGCAGCTCTTATATGGGACATCCGTACTGTGCAAACAGACGTACAGACATGTTACTAACCTAATGTTAAATTTATAATTTCGAGGGGGAGAATCAGTGTACGTCAGTCCTGAACAGTGGACTCCGAACCGTGTTTCTCTCCCCCGGAATTATGTCGGAAATTCCAACATCAATTACTAACCCCTGACATACCTAATTAAATTAGTTGAGTCAGGCATTTACTAATAATGCTAATATTACTATATTTACCAAAACGGGAGTACCGGGTTATTCTCATGCAACAATGGGAAGGTATTGCATCAGCCAAGGAATCCAATACCTAGTATTTCCCTTCATGAAAATTTAATGTTACCAGTTTAAAAGTTGAATACAAAAGAAAGTATTTATTTAAGACTGGATATAAGAGTAAATAACGAATATATAATGTCTTCCTCCTCCAGCTGATAATAAAATCAGCTGAAAACTGGATGCGTCCAGAACGTATGAAGGGGAGGAAGCGGGGCACTCTACGCACGACATCAGTATGCACATAGCTTCGAGACGTACAGATGTACCAGTTCTCACTATACAAGATGCCATACATGTGCCCACAATAGGTAGCCGAGGACATGCCTAAGCGAGTTCTGCAGATCTTTCACGGATATAAAGAAGTGCCACTTTCCCGGTTGATAAATAAGCTAAGTGATCACGAATGTTATAGTTCAAATGGTTAGGCAGCCGGCTTCCCACCCAAAATGGGTGAGCATTAATTATTAACTTACCAGTCTCCCTTTGATCATATGACCCTGGGTTTATTATTATATGTGATCTCGAGGAAGTGGAGATAGCTGCCACGAATTCTTTCCTACCCCATATGTGTCTGGACGCCATATCATTTGAGGATACTCTCTGTGGCTTACTTGTTCAGGACGGTTGTATGACTGGAGAATCAACTGTCCATCTCTAACAGCTCAACTGTATATTTTCTTTGTACTTACATATATAATAGTAGACTAACCATGATAATATTTTAGTAGACTATTGTTATTTTCATTGGAGTTTGAGATTTAAATTACGTATATATAAACCCCCCCAAATAATGTGGAGAGGATAACACCCAGTAGAAGAAACAATTTAAATACAGTCCATTTCATAAATTCAGTCCATTCTCTATATATAATAAGTTTCAAATACATTTAATACATAAATAATGACTATAAATATCTGCTGGAAAAATTTCCCACAACTTGCCTGTCTTTAAAAAGGTTTGAACGACCTTGCAGAACGGAAGCCGTTGCCGCCGTTACAACTACCACCGTCACCATCAGCACCATCCACGTCTGCGGCTCACCATAACAAAAATATAAGTGATAAAACCGATTCCAAATTAAATTTATGTCATGAAATTGACAATTGTTAACAAAACTTATGTAATCAGTATTAAGGCTGAGGTAACCGTACACATATCTTTTAATCATTGTATATATTTAAATTTATGATCTTCTGAATGTATACCTCATTGTATCAGCATCTGAATGTATGCCCAAAGATAAATATTTTTGTTGGGGAATAGGAAGCCTGTGTTCATATATAATTTAGGTCTATATAGGATTTTTTCCACGGTCAAACCCCAGGAAGTAATACCACAACAGTTGCCTAACTCCCAAGGTTAGGCAACTGCCGTTATTCATCATTTATGGCTTCATGAATACCGGCATCAGGTGAAAGGAAACTTGTCCGAATATTTTTTCCACCAAGGGATCCAACGTGAAATTCTCACTTTTCAGCCGAGAATGTATCCACTGCTATACTTTATTTAACATTTCTGAATGAGTGTTCATTTTAGTGTAATCTGGAAGTTTACGAGTAATGCAATTTGTATAAATTGCCTTATTATAATTTTTGTTATGAATGTACATTTTTAACAGATCTTCTCTAGGCATATTTTTTTCATACATAATTTACTGCAAGCATTCTTTATTGTAACAAACTTATGAATGTACATCCTATTCTAACAAAACTTCTCTGATGTAGTCTATGCTCTCAAGATCTACGTGCTGACGGGGAGGGGTGTGGGGGTGAAGGGGGTGATGTGAATGAGGCAGATCATATCTGTACATATTCGTATGAATGTTGGAAAATGTCTTCTTTCTGTGTCACGTCTCTGATCTCCAGGACCCCACCATTACATCACAGCATTTTGCCCTGCCTGTTAGTCACTCTGCCTCCCCTACAATGTGTGGCCAGCTGAGGTTTCTTGTATTACTTAATCTTTTCTTTTCACGAGTGGCGTAAGGTTGGAAACACAGCTTTACATTAGCTTCTACACTCTCAAAACTACTCTTATTTTTAACTTTGTTCTTACCATGACTGTGAATGGCTTGAGGAACCCAGTGATGTCTGACTGAAAGATTGGTCGCTTGCAGATAAGCTTGCTCTCGTCCATGTAGAGAGGTGTGCTGAAGTCTATGGCCAGGAACCTCTCTTCACTCTGACTCATCACCGTCCCTGTCATATCCACCTCCTGCAGTCCCAACACCAACTTTTACAATCTTGTAAATCTCTCCAACATCAACATACATCATGGAAATAACATTTTAAGCTCTAGTGCATTTTAATCTTGGAAAGAGAAATAGTGACAATATTATAACTGATTTTCGTGAAATGAGAATAATTACAGTAAGAATTTGATCGAAAATACCAACATACTACCAACATGTGCAGATGGACTACCAGAAAGTACCAACATGTAGTGCTGGTCCACCAGAAAGTACCAATAAGTAGTGATGGCCCAGAATAAAGTACAACATGTAATGATGGACCACAAGAAAGTACCAACATATAGTGATTGACCACAAGTACCAATAAGTAGTGATGGACCACCAGAAAGTAACAACATGTAGTGATGGCCCACCAGAAAGTATCAACATATAGTGATGGACCACCAGAAAGTACCAATAAGTAGTGATGGACCACCAGAAAGTACCAACATATAGTGATGGACCACCAGAAAGTAACAACATATAGTGATGGACCACCAGAAAGTAACAACATGTAGTGATGGACCACCAGAAAGTACCAACATATAGTGATGGACCACCAGAAAGTATCAACATATAGTGATGGACCACCAGAAAGTAACAACATATAGTGATGGACCACCAGAAAGTAACAACATATAGTGATGGACCACCAGAAAGTAACAACATATAGTGATGGACCACCAGAAAGTAACAACATATAGTGATGGACCACCAGAAAGTAACAACATATAGTGATGGACCACCAGAAAGTAACAACATATAGTGATGGACCACCAGAAAGTATCAACATATAGTGATGGACCACCAGAAAGTACCAACATGTAGTGATGGACCACCAGAAAGTAACAACATGTAGTGATGGACCACCAGAAAGTAAACATATAGTGATGGACCACCAGAAAGTATCAACATATAGTGATGGACCACCAGAAAGTAACAACATATAGTGATGGACCACCAGAAAGTATCAACATATAGTGATGGACCACCAGAAAGTAACAACATATAGTGATGGACCACCAGAAAGTATCAACATATAGTGATGGACCACCAGAAAGTAACAACATATAGTGATGGACCACCAGAAAGTAACAACATGTAGTGATGGACCACCAGAAAGTAACAACATATAGTGATGGACCACCAGAAAGTAACAACATATAGTGATGGACCACCAGAAAGTAACAACATGTAGTGATGGACCACCAGAAAGTAACAACATGTAGTGATGGCCCACCAGAAAGTATCAACATATAGTGATGGACCACCAGAAAGTACCAATAAGTAGTGATGGACCACCAGAAAGTACCAACATATAGTGATGGACCACCAGAAAGTAACAACATATAGTGATGGACCACCAGAAAGTAACAACATGTAGTGATGGACCACCAGAAAGTACCAACATATAGTGATGGACCACCAGAAAGTATCAACATATAGTGATGGACCACCAGAAAGTAACAACATATAGTGATGGACCACCAGAAAGTATCAACATATAGTGATGGACCACCAGAAAGTACCAACATGTAGTGATGGACCACCAGAAAGTAACAACATGTAGTGATGGACCACCAGAAAGTAACAACATATAGTGATGGACCACCAGAAAGTATCAACATATAGTGATGGACCACCAGAAAGTAACAACATATAGTGATGGACCACCAGAAAGTAACAACATGTAGTGATGGACCACCAGAAAGTAACAACATATAGTGATGGACCACCAGAAAGTATCAACATATAGTGATGGACCACCAGAAAGTAACAACATATAGTGATGGACCACCAGAAAGTATCAACATATAGTGATGGACCACCAGAAAGTAACAACATATAGTGATGGACCACCAGAAAGTATCAACATATAGTGATGGACCACCAGAAAGTAACAACATATAGTGATGGACCACCAGAAAGTAACAACATGTAGTGATGGACCACCAGAAAGTAACAACATATAGTGATGGACCACCAGAAAGTATCAACATATAGTGATGGACCACCAGAAAGTATCAACATATAGTGATGGACCACCAGAAAGTAACAACATATAGTGATGGACCACCAGAAAGTATCAACATATAGTGATGGACCACCAGAAAGTATCAACATATAGTGATGGACCACCAGAAAGTATCAACATATAGTGATGGACCACCAGAAAGTAACAACATATAGTGATGGACCACCAGAAAGTATCAACATATAGTGATGGACCACCAGAAAGTAACAACATATAGTGATGGACCACCAGAAAGTATCAACATATAGTGATGGACCACCAGAAAGTAACAACATATAGTGATGGACCACCAGAAAGTATCAACATATAGTGATGGACCACCAGAAAGTATCAACATATAGTGATGGACCACCAGAAAGTATCAACATATAGTGATGGACCACCAGAAAGTAACAACATATAGTGATGGACCACCAGAAAGTAACAACATGTAGTGATGGACCACCAGAAAGTATCAACATATAGTGATGGACCACCAGAAAGTATCAACATATAGTGATGGACCACCAGAAAGTATCAACATATAGTGATGGACCACCAGAAAGTATCAACATATAGTGATGGACCACCAGAAAGTATCAACATATAGTGATGGACCACCAGAAAGTAACAACATATAGTGATGGACCACCAGAAAGTAACAACATATAGTGATGGACCACCAGAAAGTATCAACATATAGTGATGGACCACCAGAAAGTAACAACATATAGTGATGGACCACCAGAAAGTAACAACATGTAGTGATGGACCACCAGAAAGTAACAACATATAGTGATGGACCACCAGAAAGTAACAACATATAGTGATGGACCACCAGAAAGTATCAACATATAGTGATGGACCACCAGAAAGTAACAACATATAGTGATGGACCACCAGAAAGTATCAACATATAGTGATGGACCACCAGAAAGTAACAACATATAGTGATGGACCACCAGAAAGTAACAACATGTAGTGATGGACCACCAGAAAGTAACAACATATAGTGATGGACCACCAGAAAGTAACAACATATAGTGATGGACCACCAGAAAGTATCAACATATAGTGATGGACCACCAGAAAGTAACATATAGTGATGGACCACCAGAAAGTATCAGTGATGGACCACCAGAAAGTATCAACATATAGTGATGGACCACCAGAAAGTAACAACATATAGTGATGGACCACCAGAAAGTAACAACATGTAGTGATGGACCACCAGAAAGTAACAACATATAGTGATGGACCACCAGAAAGTAACAACATATAGTGATGGACCACCAGAAAGTAACAACATATAGTGATGGACCACCAGAAAGTATCAACATATAGTGATGGACCACCAGAAAGTATCAACATATAGTGATGGACCACCAGAAAGTATCAACATATAGTGATGGACCACCAGAAAGTAACAACATATAGTGATGGACCACCAGAAAGTAACAACATGTAGTAATGGATACAAGAAACATTTTCATCATAATTTCTAGACTCTGGAAAAAGGTAAAGTAAAAAACTAAATGTAAATATTCCTAGGCCTAATATAGCATTTATGTACAATATTATGCTCAAGATAAAGTGTATGAAACCTGAGATTACTAGGATAGGTTAGGTTAGGGTAAGTTTTATAGTTATGTTTGGGTTAAAAGTTTCCAATTTCTTAGTGGTCCATCATTACATATTGATAATTTCGACCAAATAGTTACTATAAGTATTTTCGGAGGATGGGCTGGAATGTTGTGTGTTTTTCTATAATATAGTAGATTGTGAGGCCTCAGATTACATAACATGGTGCTACCTGCAAACATGAATATGCGATGTTTTTATTACTGGAATCATAAACACCGACAAAAAAAACTTTAAATGATGTTAGCAGAACTGACGTAATGATACGTTGGCAGCCTCATATCGATCGATGTTAATTAAAAAATTTGTTATTATAGTTTTCATATTGCAACCTTTTCATTAATGTTGTTACAATGTAATTTGGCTGTATGACATTATTCAAACACTGTGACCGTCATATACGAACCTGTGCCACCATATTTAGCTTCTTTTAAGGATGTGATTAGTCGTTTATTTGAGTATTACTTCTACGTGAAATGTTTTATTTATTCGGCAAGAAATGCTGATCATATTTCCATAACCTCGGACATACATTCTTTCATTGTTAGATGACTCAGTTGGAGCACCCTGTATGGGTGGCAGCACCGTTTGAGGAGTCTGTTTGAAACTTGTATTCGATTAGTTTCTTGGAGACTAGAAAGGCGAAGAACTCGGAGGTGACATAATGGCGGTGTACAAGTGGATGGATGGCCATGACAAGAACATAAGAACATAAGGTTAATGGTAACTGCAGAAGGCCTATTGACCCATACAAGGCAGCTCCTATTTATAAGCACCCAATCCCACTCATATACGTGTCTAACCCACGTTAGAAGCAATCAAGGGACTCCACCTCCACAACGTTGTGCAGCAATTCGGTCCTCAAATCAACAACCCTGTTACCGAACCAATATTTACCCTAAGTCTTTCCTAAACCTAAACTTATTCAATTTATATCCATTGGTTTGTGTTCTGTCTTGTGTTTATACTTTGAATACCCTATTAATGTCCTTTGTTATGTCCATTCATCCACTTGTACATCTTTATCATGTCACCCCTAATTCTTCGCCTTTCTAGAGAATGTAATTTAGGCTTTATTAATCTTTCTTCATATGATGCTATAGGTCAAAAAGAAACTTTGAAGTTCGCATAGCAAGGCAAGCAAAGCCAAATCTTAAAGGGTTTTTCAGTTATATTGAACAAAGATTAGGGATAAAATAGGTCCATTACAAACTGAGACAGATATTATTACGTATAAAGACAAAGAGATGAGTAGTATTTATAATAAATATTTTATCTCTGTATTTACTAAAGAGGAACTTAACATTATACCTTCAGCCAAACAAGTCT